TGACTTTTATGTTTTCAAATCCAAGACATAGTTTTCAGTCTTCATTTTGTTTGATTTTTCAGTATAATGTGACACTGTAAACCATTCTCTGGTCTTGAAATGGTCTCTTTCACTGGCTTCCAGGACAAGTCATTGTCTTTATTTCTTCCTGACTTCAGGCTCCTGTTTACTGGTCTCCTTGAGAGGTCTGCATTTCTCTTCCTGTCCGTTATATTTGGAAGCTTCTGAGTCAGGTGCAGTCCTCAGCCTTCTTGTCTATTCTCTCTCCCTAGGCAATCTCATCCATGTCTCATGGCTTCAATTGTTCCTCATCATCTTAGAAGTTTCTCTGGAGCTGTAAGCTCAAATATCCAATTCCTACTAGTTATTTCCACTTGGATGTCTCAGGTTTTCAAACTCCTCATTTATTAGTCTGAATTTATAATGTGTCCCCAAATCGAATTCTTTCCTGACACTCCCACCTGAGTGAACCTCATGTCTGGTTAGGCAAGTCAGAAATCTAAACACCATCCTTGATAACCTCTCTTTTCCTCAACTGCTCACATCCAATCCACTGTTCCCATCAGTTTTGTTTCTTAAATATCCTTAGAATTCACTCACTCCTCTCCACCTCCAGAGCTAGGACCAGATCCACTCTCTATCATCTCTTGTCTAAACTACTGCTCAGTTTCCCAAAGGCCTCTTAGCTTCCTCCCTGACTACCTTCCAGTCCCTTCCCCACACAAAATCTCATAAGCCCCACTCCAACAAACACAAATTGGATCATACAGCCCTTGACTTAAGCCCCCTGCAGTGACTTCCCAGTTGCTGCTGCTCCTTGAATAAATACAAAAGCTTGTCCTCAAGCCCAGGCAAGGTCTGGCCCTGCATCTGCTCCAGGCACGCTGGCCTTTCTGTGCAGCAGCTCAGTCCTGCCGCCTCCTCCTTGGTTCCAACTTGTCCCAGCTCTCAGCTCACACTTCTTCAGAGATGCCTTCCTGACCACCTTGACCAGGCTGGGTTCTGCCATCATTTGCTCTCTTGGAATGGCATGCCTTCCCTCTATAGCTCTTACCTCAGTTTGGAATTGCACATTCACTTAGGTGATTATTTGACAATCACCTAAGTGAGCTGTCTGCTTACACCAGCCTCCAACCTCCATAAGAACAGGAACCACATCTGGTTTTGCTCATCTTGTATCTTCCACAGTTAGCAAAATACCTGGCATTAGAAGGTGCTCAATTTTTTTTTTTGTGTGTGTGTGGGTTTGTTACTAAGAACCATAAGATCTAAGCAGAAAGGTACCTTAGAAAACATCTGCTATCTGTCATTTTGAAGTTGAAAAGCGGAGGCTAGGTGAGGTGGGAAATTAGGCGGTTCATTTACACACCATCACACAGCTAGTTGATGGCAGTGCTGGAATGTGAATCTGCTACCCACCCTCCAGAGAGGTTGGCTGACCCTGATGGGTCATTTTCATGCCTGGTGCTGTTTTTGCCAATAGAACAAAACCAAGCTTAGTAAAGCAGAGCAGAAACTCTGTTAATAAAGAAATGCAGAAGGGAAGCTCATCCTCAAAGCATATTCTAGGGGGCAGGATGGCGGGGTGGCAAGTAAAAGGGGTTGTGAAAGGCTCTTAGGGCAGGTGGGTGAAGACTGGGGCAGGATTCCTAAAAAAAGATGGGTTCTTCCAGGATGCACAGGAGTGTGCACAGCCTTGTCTTTTGTGCTCAGCACTTCTTGTGCCTAGCAAGGTACATTTCTGCCCTCTACGCGGTGGTCTTAGCAGGGTAATGAAGCAAGAATTCAGGTCGGGGCAGCACTGCTGAGCTGGTTCGTGGTTATTGGCATCCAGCCTTCCTTTCTGTAAGCAAGCACAGCTTCGAGCACAGGTTAATTTCACAGGTTTTGAGGATTCTGAAGTAATTGGGTTTATGTTGCCGTGACAAATCCCCATCTCTTTCTGGTCCAGTGAATTTTCCACCTCCACATAGGAACTATTTATTTATTTAGTATAGATACTCTAGTAGTATTCTTTCTCTCTCTTTTCTTTTTTAAGGAAAAATAAGAGGTGTCTATGCTTAAACTGTGCTTTTTTGGGGGGTTAATATACCATCACAAAATATCAAGCCATTGGCAGATAAAAGAGAACACTCTGGAGAAGAGGAAGATGCCATTTTAAGGATGTGCCTCTCCTCATCCCTGCTGACTTGCAGCAGTGATAGAGATGCCGAATAGGACCTAGGAGGCACACTTCTCCTTCCTCTGCCCCTCCAGAACCTCCCCAGCCACAGGCATTAGGAGGAAGATTAACAAGACTCACAGGGACACGTGCTTGCTCTCTGGAAGCTGTGGACTCGTCAGAGAAAGCTGCAAATCCCATTTCCCCCTGTTGCAGCAGGCAATTATTTTTGCATGATCAGATCACAAGCTGATTATAAAACTGATTTGCACTGTGTCCAGAGGCTGCTTTTTCCTGCAAGCAGGTTTCTCTTCCACTGAATAGAGCAGGGGGGCCCTCTGGTGGTAATCTGTAGGAAAATCTCCTGAGCAGGAGGGATATGCTTAATTTGGGTGAGAATTCTTCCTATTCTTTTCCCTTGCCTCCACAAGCCTTTTCCAAAATCAGCCATTAGGTCCTGGCACAGTGGCTCATGCCTGTAATCCCAGCATTTTGGGAGGTCAAGGCGGGTGATCACTTAAGGTCAGGAGTTTGAGAACAGCATGGCCAACGTGGCAAAACCCCCGTCTCTACTAAAAATACAAAAATTAGTTGCGTGTGGTAGTGTACGCCTGTAATCCCAGATACTTGGGAGGCTAAGGCATGAGAATCACTTGAACCAACCTGGCAGGCAAAGGCTGCAGGGAGTGCCTCTGCATTCCAGCCTGGGTGACAGAGTGAGACTCTGTCTCAAAACGAAACAAACAAAACAAAATCAGCCATTAGAGGTAAGCCATGACTGTTGTAAGCCATCTGAACGAGAAGGTTCATACCATCAATGGACCAATGCTTTTTGGGGTCAAGATTGCATTTCTTCAGCTATGCTTTTGCTAAAAATCCCCAGGACTCATGATGTGAACAAAGCTATGGACTGTGAATTTGGCGCATGTTGTAGAGGGGAGGGGAGGCCCTGATGTGTTGTTCTGAAGTGAGTGACAGACATGCCTGCCCTCCGGGTGGAAACACCAAGCTCTGTATAGCACTTTACAGTTCACTTATATAACATGTGATCCTAATCACCATGGAGGAGGGCAGCTCTGAACCAGCAGGAGGTCTCTTAGGTGTGAGGCTGGGACAAGGGGGCTGGAGAATAAGGGGCAGGTGGTGGAACACGGGAACATGCGGGGCCTTGGCTGTTTGCAGAGCCCAATGAGTTTGAGATTAGAAGAATGAGGGTGGAGAGAGGGGAGAGGATGGCATACTTCCGATACTTGTAGTGTCCAAACTGTCTCTTCAGACAGGAGAGTTTAGAAATCCAAGTCGCAGGTACCAGGAACCAGGCTTTGGGAAAGGAGGCGTTGCCTGATTTCTTGAACCTTTCTCAAAAGGCTGGGAATATCTTGTCCTGTTTTTCATTCAAATGTTTTTGGTATGTCCTATTTTATTAGATCTGTTTTATATTTAATTTTCTCTGCATAGAACAGCCCTCTGGAAGTAAAAATCAAAATGTTCACCATTTTAAAACCTTAGGCAATATACGCTTGAAAAAGTTAAAAATCACAAAGAGATCAAGACTGTTTAATAGTTACTTTTTTTTGAGGGAAATCCAGTCACATTTGCCTGTACCGTACATACACCATTACTTGGACATTCACACTCCACTGGGAACATGATAAATTACAAAAGAGAGAGGAACTTTTAAAACCACATTTAATTTTTAATACAAAATCTGTTGCACTATTACAGAAGTGACCCTTTCATGCACAGATAAATTTAGTATCTACCAGTCTGGAAGAGGAAAAACTGTATTTTTATTGTTCTCCCAAAATATTGGCAAATTTAAAGTAACTTTTAATCTTTGTGCTCTCTGATGCCAAGGCAAACCTGTTTTGTCTTTTTGTATTTTCAGTAGACAAGTTGATCTGTGAAAAGCGAATATAGAAACATGAAAGTATTTAGGGCCATCTTTACCTGGGATCACTTTAAACTATGCTTTACCTACATATATCAAAGACGCCCGGTGACTAGGCCTACTGTGCCCCATAGGCAAAGCTCTGATGATTTCATCTAGAAATCTGCTGTCGATATGTAGAAAAATTCACTATTTCAGTTTCACAGCAAAAAAGGCAGGGGGAGAGGGGAACCCAACAGGTATTTAAGTAGATGCTTTCCAATCCCATTCACTGCATTAATTAGCTTACTTCTTATACAGTACAACATAATCACTGCAGTTTTATTTGTATGTAACACCTATAAGCATATAGCATCTACACTTTAAGTGTATTTACAAATTCAACAAAATATCTACATATAAAAAGCTTTACTTAAAATTAAACTTGATGCAAGTTATGAGAAACCAATTTATTGGCAAATGAAACCGAGCATTCCTTCAACCATAGGTTGTTATAGATTTTCATACTTGGAGGCAACCCATTTGATAGATATTGTTTATGAATATGATAGAAGATATATTTACTTTTTAAACTGCAGATGTAATCCCTTGGACCACTGGCCTTTTAAGCACTTGTCAGATTTCTTAGACTCTGAAATGTGTCTGTAGCAATTTGCATACACATTGCTTAATGCTGCAGAGTTTTGAACTCAGATAGGTAAAGTCTTGGAGAATAATATATTACTGTTGGCATGCTATTGTATGCCAACAGTAATATATTACATGCTATTGTATGCCAACAGTAATATATTTGGTGATGGAATAACTTAATTTTTAAAATTAATTTTCTAGCATGTAGACACCTTTCTTACTGAATGTAGCAGAAGCCATAAAGGACCATAAAATCATTACGTGCTTCAGTTGGTGACAAAGCTTTTCTTTTTATGCTTATGAGGAAATGCTATTTCAAATAAGCTGTCTCATTATTTTTATTTTCATGTTTCCTTCTTTTCCCAGCATTGCAGTTTTCATGAACTCTGCTTTTTAAAAGTTGCTTTTTGACAATGACAGTAATCTAGGACTCAGAATGGACTGGAGCAGCTAATACAGAATGCAGTATGTTATGGAATGCTTAATGTCTGAAGGCACTATATGTGTCTTGCCCTGTGTTCTCTGGAGTAATGTTTGAAATTTAATTTGAATGACTTGTTTTTGATTCTTTCAGTATGGCACAGATGCCGAAATGCATTGCAATACACATTGTTTATGCCTAAAAACAACGGAACACAGAAATGATGTACAAAGTAGAATACTGTGCTGCTGTAATGCCTGGAAGATTAAGAAGCCTACGGAGTAACAGGAGCCAAGAGCAGGTAATAGTTCTCAGTAAGCATCAGCAATGCGACTGTCATAATGAACTCATTTAGCAAGTATATACTGTACATACTGTTCCTAACAGTCTCCCAAAAAGACTAACGACAGCTAGACATAGAGTTACCAGTTTCACAACAATGTCCACAAAGACATTGAAGTCCTAGAGAATACTACAGTAACACTCTTGACAATGAAAACGGAATTCATATTTAGGGGTTCAGCTGAGGATAGTATAAACAAAGTATCAAACCATGTTTTCATAACATACACGTGTATGTCCTTTAAATGTGGAGCATTTTTCATGCATCATATTGAGTTGTATCCTGAAGAGGAAATAACAGGATCTGTTGGTGATGTTGCATTATTTTTTCTCAGTTCTGAGGAAATCAAGAATACCCATTTTGAATGAAAAAGTATGCACTTTGCATTCCAGTTCACATTAACATATCATTTGACTGAGTTATGTTTTTGCTTTAACTATTCTCATAATATTAACATACAGCAGAAAACACACTCTCTACCCATATGTTCATAGTATGAGAGGGCTGACGAACAAGTGCTTAGGATAAACATTCTAGAGAAACGGAATATTGGCAAAGAGCTTAAAAATTAAACAAAGGAATTCATGGCATTGACAGGAGAAGGTGCCTCTGAGCTTTCGTTTCCTTCAGCCGGCTCTTTCTCCTTCTTACCACTGTATTGTCCAATAAAGGAGCCATCCTCATTGAACTGACCGTTCACCCCTTCTCCATAGTCAACTAGGCTGTCATCACTGTCTTCTTTTTTCACAGTCCTGTCTGAAGGAGTTCGACTTCCTTTTTTCAAAGGCTTGTGGTCTTCCGCGTCACTGGAAGAAAGAGAAAACATTTTTGTCAAGATTGGCATTTAGTAACATTTTCTGTTTTTAAAGATCATACATGCAAATTATGAGAAAGCGTTTGGAGTCCTGGGCTTCTCTGACCAATGACGAGGGTGAGTTGGAATGGAAATTAGGAGCAGAAATGGTTGAATCATGAAGTCCTCAGTGGAGTGGATGGCTCCCAATTGTGCATGTTAATTTCAATGACAAATTCTGATTCCTGAAGTGAAAGCAATCCAGAAATAATCACAAGCATTAAATAAGAAAGAATTGAGAAAAGTAGAAAAATCATCACTATTTTGAATTCAAAAAGGCAAAAGCTTATGGCAAATAGAGAAGTTAGTATGTTAAACTGCAAACTATCTCTGATTCCTTGGATGTGAATGGAGCATGATTTTGGTTAAGTGTGAAATATGGATTTTTTTTTTCTGAGACAGAAGGAGAAGCAAAATCCTGCATTTCAAATAATTTTGTTATCAATGCAGGCCAGACTGGTAAACTTCAACCTTACCTTTCAAGAGACCTACAAATCCCATTAAAAGGATGCAGAAGAAACAAATGAAAATAGCCTAAGAAGAAAAGCAAAATCCTTATACTGATAGCACACAGTATTTTTTTTTTGGTAAGAATTTTAGTTAATGAGTAAATATTTATTAATCTGGAAAGAGACACACTTTAACTTAAAAGCACTACATTTGTACTATGAATGGCATGCCAATATATTCTAAAGAATGTGAATGATTCCAAACATGTAATAGCAAACCCTTCCTATGCTCATGTTAACCCCTCAGCTCCCTTCTCCTATGTGTGTTATGTAGCCTGACCATGTTGGATGGGAATCTGAGGAGTGTACCTTAATATGACTTTATAAGATTCCATTATTATTCTTTTTTGCTTATTTCTCTGTTGAACCCTTAAGCACAATTTCTGAAGTCAAAGAGTAATCATTATGTTTTAGACTGTTCACCCATATGGTCAAATAACTAGTTGTGCACATTGACCTATTTGTTAATAGGTAACATTTGGGAAAAAAAATAGAAAAAGTCAATGATAGGATCCAACATTTTGTTTTCTTTCAAAAAACAAAAATGCAAGGTAAAATAGGAAATATATACAGTATTAGCAAAAATGGAAAAGCCTTAATATACAAAAGGTATCACTGGCTGCAGTATTTAATCTAGCAGTTTGTGCTAAGTCTTTACTGCTCCCTCTGTTTCAGTGACTTTTCTTTTCTAGCCAAGATACAAATATTTCAAGATCTATAAGTATACTGGCTCTTTTGACAATAACTTTTACTAGGGATTTCAATTTTTCTCCAAGAAGAAAATCTCCAAACTGAGAAAAAATGCTAGCATAATATAACAGTGGCACATGCCATTGAAAACAACCTGTTTCAGTAATACACGATTACTTGCTGCAAACTGAATTAGCTATAATATCACCACTGCTAATAAACAACTGGAAAGCTATCATCTTGGGGTGGGCTGTGCTTGGGGGAATTTCAGAGGACAAAGCATTGAGTGCCTAATCTGTTATGAAAATAGCTTACACAGCATCCCTGGGGTTTAATTATTAAGTACTTCCTGTGAAATATAGCCCCTGTTCTGGTGCGACTGTTAATTCAGCTGAAGAGTTCAGTAATAGGCAGAATTTTGCCACCTGGATTCAATGGTTAGTCGTATTCTGCTTTGTAGGACTAGCATCCCAAGGAATACACTACTGGAAGTTGCCATCTGTATCATTTCTTTGGTCTAGCCATCTATCCACCCATCCCTTCATCCAATAAGTGCTTATTGAGTGCCTACACTAAGACAGACTGTTCTAGGCACTGGGAATATAGCAGCAAACAAAATAGACTAAAACCCTGACCTTATTTTTAGGGAGGAAAATACAATTAACAATCTACATAATACAAATTATGTGTATTTTATGTCAGGGGATGATTAGCACCATGCAAAGTAGAGAGCTGAGTAAAGATGACAGAAGGTGTTGGAGAAGGGATGAAAAGTTGGCATTTAAATAGGATGTCCAGGAAGGCCTCATCAAGCAGTGATATATGGTCAACAACTTTAAAAGAGTGGATTTAGTAGAGTGGACAGCTGGAGGGAGAGCAGTTCCTGCAGGAGTAACAAGCAGTATAAATGCCTTAAGGTGAGGGCAAGCCTGGCATGTTCCAGGAACACTAAGGAGCTTGGTGTGGCTGAATTGAGACAGACGGGGCGGGGGGGGCGGGGGGAGAGAGAGAGAGAGGCAGAGAGAGACAGAGAGACAGAGAGAGAGACAGAGAGACAGAGAGAGAGACAGAGAGAGAAGTAGGAGTTAAGGTAAGCAGGGTGGCAGGGCTACACCAGGGCCTGTGGGACTTTGTAACAATGCTGCCTTCATCTCTGAGATAGGAAGCCCTAGGAGGGTTTTCAAAGAATAAGTGACATGCTCTGACTTACATTTTAAAAGCACTACTCTGTTATCAGTGTTGAGAATAGCCTTCCTTAGAGGGCTGGGGTTAGTAAATTAGGCCATGCCCGTTTACTACATAATGTCTATGGCTGCTTTTGCACTACAATAGCAGAATTGCAGAGTTGCAGCAGAGACTATGTGGCCTGTGAAGTCTAAAATATTTAGTTGGCCGACCTCTGCTCTAGAGAGTCAGGGGAGAATATTACAACGATCCAGGAGGAAGATGACTGTGATTTGGACCACAGTGGAACACTGGAGATGGTATAAAATGCACAGATTATGAACATGTTTTGCAGGTAGACCCAACAGGATTTTCTGATGGATTAGATATGGAGTAACAGAGAAAAAGATGGTGCCGGGATTTTTGGTCTGAGCGACAGGAAGCTTGGAAGTGCTGTTACTATGGAGTGAAGCCTGTTGAGAGGGGAAAATCAATGGTTCAGTTCCGGGAATATTAAAGTTTAAATATATCATGAGAACTACTCCTTTAATCATTTTATGAGGCTAGTATAACACTGATATCTAAAACCAACAAGATCACTTTAACAAAGTAAAATTACAGGCTAATCTCATTCATGAACATAGATGAAAAATCCCCAAACAAACTATGACCAATCAAATTTAGCAATCTACTAAAAAGATAATATTTCATATCCAGGTTGGGTTTATTCCAGGAATGCAGATTTATTTTAGCATTAAAACATCAATTCATATAATTCATCATTTTAGCAGAAGAAAATAAAAATATCTATGATAATCTCAGCAAATTTAGAAAGAGGTATATGAAAAAATTCGACACCCATTCATGATAAAAACATTAGGAATAGAATGTATTTTTATTCCTAACCTTAGGAACATATTTATTTTTAACATGAAGGAAGGAATAGAATCCTTCAATAACCTGATTAAGGTAGCTATAAGAAACCTACAGTAAACATCATCCTTAATGGTGAACATTGAAAACTTTGTTTAAAATCAGAAATAATAATGATGATGGCTGCTGCCACCACTTCTAATCAAAACTGCATTAAAAGTCCTAAGCAATTTGATAAGAAAAAGAAATAGTTGAAAGGAAGCTATCATTATTGATAACTGATAAGACTGTGTATGTAGAAAAGCAGAAGAATCAATAGGTAAATGTTAGAATAAAAAGAGAGTTTAATAATGTTGCTTTATACAAGATTAGCATAACAGTCAATTTTACTTATGCTCTTGCAATTAGGAAATAAAATTAAAATACTATTCCATTTCTAATACCATAAATATGAAGCATATAAAGACAAATCCAACAAGCTTATGTGTAAGACCTCCAAAGAAAATAAAAGTTTTATTCAGAGTTATTAAAGATCTGAATGAATGGAGGAATATTCCACATCCATGGATGGGAGACTCAAATACAGTAAATATGTTAACCTTCCCCATATTTCCCTTTAGCTGCAATTTATTTCTGGTAAAAGCTCAGCAGGTTTTTATATGGATCTTGGCAGGCTGATTCTAAGATGTACAAATAAAAGAAAAAGGCTAAGAATATTTAAAAGGCTCTTGAAAAAGACAAGTAAAGTTAGAGAACTGAACCTAGCATGTATCAAGACTTATTAAAACCTGTGTTATTAAGACAATATAGTTTTGGTGCAGAGATAGACAGATTGACCAGTGGAATGGAATACAGGGTATTGAAACTGGTGGAAGATATTTTCATTGGCTTTATTCCTACATCATATTTTTATGCTATCGTAAGAAGAATAATTTTTAAAATCTTATTTTCCAATTGCTTGCTGGTTGGTAGCCAGAAATATAGTAGACTTTTATGTTAATTTTGTGCCAAGCAACATTACTAAACTCTCTCATTATAGTATTTGCTTTTTGATTCATTTGGGTTTTTACATACAAAATCATATCAGTTACAGTTAATGACCAGCGAAGAAGGGGCTCCCCCAAAGCATCCATTCATTCCAGCTTAACGGTTGTGGCAGAGGAGAGAATGAACAGCAACACAGGCCGTGCTTGAAAGAAGAGAAGAAACTGGGATCCTCCCTCCTCTAACAGTCTTTCCAGAAAAAGCCATTCAAAGGCAGCGAGATCTTTTTAAGTCCAGTCTTTGTTAAGTGTTGTGATATATCTTACTGTAATAATTAGAATCTGGCTAAATGAGAAAAAATTATATAAGTCATAGGAACAGTGCTGGCACATGGTTTGTGTTCAACAAGTTTAAGTGTCCATCTCCATCAACCTCTTCTCTCTACTCCAGGCCCCTATTTCAGACAGATTTGTTTTTTCTAAGAAATACCTTGTGTAACACACACACAGAACTTTCGAGATGTGTTAAGTGGTTACGCCTCTGTGTGACGCACTGTATTAGGGCTTGCCTTTTTCAACTCCAAGATGAATTTTGTAACTAAATAGTAAATAATATTCTGCTTTTGTCATTGTATTCAGTGAAATTTCCATGTCAAGTTTAAATATGCAGGGGAGTTTCCCAAATGAGATGAATTAAGAAGTCACAGAAGATGATTTAAAAGTCATATAGATATATATGACTCTCTCTGTCTCTCTCTTTTATATTTAGTGGTGTAGTGGTCAAAGCTTTATAAAACAAGTAAAAATTCATTCACATTTTAATGAGAATGTTTAAGGTGGTGTGTATCAGGTATCAATTATTAGTTCTGGCTATCAAAGGTTGAATGGATTTCAAAATAAGATATATATAGCTACAACATATCCAGTATATAAGTATTGATACAATATCCAGTATATTCTTGATACTTATATTCATGAATCAAGATCATTGTGCAGTGGAAAGAAATGTTCCTATCACAATGCTAACACTGCATGACTTTCCCTGGGAAGACTCTCTGTGCCACCCTCCTTCTATGCTGCTCACCTGGCGTCAGCTTCCTGCTCCTGTTCTCTTGGTACCTTAGTTATATCTCTTCTATAGCACTTTTCACACTCTGGTCATTGTTCCTTTACTTCCCTGCACCCATCACTAGGCTATAAATGCCCAGTGTGGAACCATATCCTATTGGTTTGAATATTCCCAAAGCCTGGCATACAGTAGGCACTCAATAAATACTGGCAGAATGAGTTCACTGTAAAATAATGAGGAGACAGTGGGTATTTTAGAAATTAAAGAAAAATTTGAACATAAATTTCATTCCCTCTTAGTTTCATGATGGCAGCCAAAGCACTGTAATATATCCTTTCCTTTCTCTTACCCTAAGAATAAATTTTTAGGGAGTTCAAATTGTTTTTCAACAACAATTTGTTCAGAAGTGTGCACATCCATTAAATCCTACTGAGTAAAATTTGGCAACAGCAGTTAAATCTCTGATAATTCTGTCTGATTATCCTGTTGTTACCACCCTCCCATGGCCAAACCACATTGCACCTCTAGTGACATTCATGACCCAAATACTCTTTCCTACCTACTCTCTGAAAGTCCATTATTATTCTGCTCACAAACCAGTTCATGTTTTGTTAGCAAAATAACTCTAATCTATATGACAAATGTGCCACATCTTGGTATCATTCAAGCCTTATAAGCATGGGTTAGCATGCTTGCCACAAGCCCATGTTCACATGAATGACAAGATTCGTGTGGCAAGAGCCACCTATTATGTAGTAAGTTATGAGTTCAAGTAACATGGGCATATGGTTTATGACCTAGGTTTATTCTGGTCTTAAGGAAAATGGATCTAAAGAATAAAAAAATACTTACACTGTTGGTTGCATTGTTTCTCTGATTTTTCTATATGCTAGTAAGGATGCAGATCCTACTGTCTGTATAATTAAAGAAACAAACAAAGAAAGCTGCAGGCTTCCACCAGAGGGTAACTGCTTGGGGGTGGGTGTCAGAGTAAGGGCACAGGGTTATAGCATATAATCACATTTGGCCACCAGTGAGGTTCTATCCCTCTTTGCACTATAAAATATCATCTGGCTCAGAGCCAGTCATGTAGAAAAGGTTTCATCCTCAGACTAGATAATCAGCAGATCAGAAATGGGAATTAATTTACACTTATTTTGTGTATATCTGATCGGCATAATAATTGCTTTTGGAATGAAAGACAGTGAGAATCCATAAATAATACAGAGCTCAAAACTTACAGAAGGTGCAAAGTAGAGACAGGACCCTGGTGATTTCAGGAAGTGAATGACACTTAAATGTATTATTAAAAATAAAAGATTCTGTTAATAAGCAGTTGGAACTGTTTTCATTAATCACAGCCTCTAAGATAATAAACATTTTTGGATTTCTTTAAATAAAAAATAAACCAAAGGGAAAACATTCTGAGGTAGTGTCAGGAAATCAAAGGACAAAGCCCTGTCTTTGTAAATCAAAGTAAAAAAACTGGTTGGAATTTTGGGGAAGTGATTTTGCTGTGGGATTGTCCTTATGAACTTTTAGTTTCATTTTAAAAATTACATTATTGAGTTATGTTGCGAATTGAAGACACCCATCAGAACCTTATTTCCCTTGGCACCTCCCAAATTTACACCATTACACGTATGACAAGTGTACAGGTGTTTCTGTCTTCCTGTCAATTGGGTTTGCACTCAATAAGCCCAAACAAAAAGTCTTTCTTTCCTGAGAAACTAAGGCCTAACTAAGCTAAAGACAGCTATCTGAAAACACTTCACCAACACAGTACATATAAATTAACACTAAGACAAAGAAATATGTCCAAATAGATGTAAACACAGTGATTATGAGGCCAGTAACCAAATACTTGCTATGTACTGCTCCAGACAGAAAATTATATTAAAGTTGTTAGAAGATGGCTTGTAGAAGAAAATACAAATCACAGAACTATGAATCACAGGCAATGGCCGAGCTGAAAGTAAAACTAACAGTCTTTTAATTCCAAGCTTGTTCATAAAAGTCAACCTCCATTTTTTTTTTATAGTTCCATGAGGGTTCATGTGCAAGTTTGTTATGTGGATACATTGTGTAGTGGTGGGGTTTGGGCTTCTAGTATACCATCACCCAAATATCAACCTTGATTTTAATCAAGTTTTAATGGAGTAGGCAGCAGTTTTCTGGGAAAGTCACATGACCTCACATCATAACCTCAGATCACATCGCTATAATGGCAAGTTGATGTTTGAGCCCCACATGGTGAGCAGTACATTGCCAGATTCATTGACACATGATAATGTAGAATAGGAACCCATCACCATGGAGAATGTATGAAGAACAATGGCTTATTTCCAATTCATGCAAATACATGTTTTTTCCAGGCCATGTTAAGACTTTGCTTCATCACAATAAATAAGGGAGTGGTTTGCATATCCTGTAGAGAATTATAGCCACAAGAACTCTAAAAATAAGAAGTTATTTAGTAATTGTCAGCTTACCTGCTTTATAGGAGAAACATGTATAAGGGTGAATTATTTCAGCAAAGCTCTAGTCATCCAGATGCCCTAGGTTATGGGCTTCTGTAGGCTGCTCCAATTTGTTACAAAAACCTCTTGGGTGAATGAGTGTGGATGCTGCATGAGGTTTTTATACACTTTCAGCTCCAGAACCAAATTCTGACATCAAGACAAGCCTAGCTAGGCATTTTTCTGTACCATGAGATACAGAAATTCTGAGGACTTTTTGAAAACATAGTTATCTCTCTTTAAGAGATCAAAATATAAAAACTTAGGGGCTGAGATAAAGGAAAAACACAGGTATCTGCACGGAAATTGATATGAAAACAATTTTATTGAAAATATATGTCTTTTTCTCAATCAGTTCTCTATTTTTCATCCTTAGCATTGTGTCACATGAAAGTATGATATTCTATGACACCGACATGATAGTGACATGGAAAAACCAAAAATGAGCTCTAGAGACAAGTAAAACTTAACATAAATATCTTCTCTACAAATGTTGCCTTGTAATCACAATAGTGAAATATTTTATTTCACCTAAAGCCTCTTCATCTTGCAAACAATGTCTCAAAATGGGCTAATGCATAATATAAGAGATTTTATATAAGCAAGAGGCTTCTAAAAAGAAAAAAACAAGGTACAAAATGTATTTTTAAAAGGCATACTTTTAAAATAACAAAATCCCCACATTTTATTCTAATAAATACATATTTTGTTTGTTTTTAAACAAATGTAAAATAATCTTTTCTTTCAATTGAAAAGATATATCTTTGTTTAAAGAAAATATTTTTTAAAAATTTAGCACATAGGTTATATTAACATTTTCCCTTAATGATGGAGTCAAGCCAGAATGTATTATCAAAGTTCTGTAACATGTTGCCCAGAGGGCTATGATATTTCTTAATAATTAACAGCTTCTAAAACAATCTAGTCACCATTTCATGATTAATGGGCAAGGGTATAGGTATTGTTTAGGAAAACTAGCTTCAAATTCTAGATGAGAAAGTCTGTTCACATTGGTTTTATTACAGCGTGTTTAGAAAATGACAAGTATAGTTTTCTTTACAATGCAGGCTTTGGAGGGTCTTCTCTGTTGTTTTAATGCTCATAGTAACACACTGGCTTTGCTAGATTGATCAGCACAGCATGGGCCTATGGAAAATGTGACAAAGTGGGAGACATTCCACCTCCAAAATCATGACTAAAATAAAAATTTATTTTTTTAATGAAAAATGAAAATGTTTGACCATGAGGAACATGTAAACACTGAGACATGGAAGTATCCCTAAACTTACATTTGAGAAAAATATGAGATGCCAGGCAGAGCATGTCCTGGCCAAGTTCCATTCTTGGGACTGTGTTGGTGTAGGCAGGGAAGATGAAGAGCAGAGAAGCAGGGGCTCACCTGTATTCTCCAAACGTCCCATCGTCTTCCTTCATAGGCTGGATTTCAGGGTCAGCATGGGCATCTTCCTTTTCTTTAACTAAAAATTTCAAAAAGATATTATTATCTACTGATCTTGTTTTTTCTTATTCAAAGTCCATAAGAGTATTCTTTGAGATATATACAGCAGTGAAAAATAATTCTATACACAAGTAGATGTTGTAAAATCATATATAGTGGCCATGCATACATTCTGGTGTTTTAGTTATTTTTGAGGCAGCCCAATAGAATGTACATTTGTTAATACATAAAGTTGACTAGTCTCTCACTTGATAAAGAAATAATATTTAAGTTTCTAAGATTTTCCCCTACTTTACCAATCTATTTAGTAGCTATATTAATGGTTGCAAATTGTTTTTGTAAGTCTATTCTTTCACAGATTTTTTTTTCTTGTCACTGACGGGAAAATGGTCAGGTAAAGAAAATATAAATTTAATGGACCCACTAAATTGAATAAACCATTAACCTTACAGGGAAAGCAATGTTACACATCACAATATCAAGACTATCAAGACTTAGTTCATATATTACTTCCTCTGAAAAACTCTCTACGCACCTTCCCCCCACCTCTCCTCTTGACAAATGGTTTTAGGTGTTACTTAGGCATCCATAACTATGTGCAGTCTAAGAGTAAACTCAATAATGTTTTCAGAGAACACATTGATTTACTCCTCCAAATGCCTTACGATCGTTGACAATGTTAAACTGCCATTATATAAAATGTGATCAAAAGTCATTTGAAGAGAAATTCCAAACTCATGGCTCTGGGAAGACATGATATTACAATCTACATGATTACCCCATGATTTCTTTTTAGTTTAATGGATTATCATGTAGCATTACAAAGCAATTTTAATGTTTCTTTCTTACCTGGATATTTACCACCTTTGTTTCTTCTGATGAAGCAAACAATCAGCAAAATTAAGATAAGGAGAGCGACAGCACACATTAGACCAATGAACCAGCCCTGAGTTGCAATATCCACCTGCCGGCTTGCCATCGCTGGAAAACAAATCGACGGTGTTGGTGGCAATAGGTTAAGGGGAGATGGGAACTGCTGCAGTCTCTTAGAGTAAAAATTGTCACATTATGTGAGCTTTCATGTATTTGACATGTGGCTCCAAAGTAGGATCTGCCAATTATTAATTGGGAATTATATAAATACTTAACTTTGAAAAACCTTCACTCATTAAAAAATTCAAATAGAGAAAGCTGAATAATAATATTAAATGCTAACAAACTCTGGTGAACATTGTGTTCAGTTATTCTCACTAAATATTCTCAATAAAAACATATTCCTAAACCGAATAAAGTATTCACTGTTTACAGGATACATTTTACATTAAGTACATTGAGAAAAATATAAAACTGAGTATTAAACAGAAAAGGATGTATACATATAATTGAGTATTTTCTCTTCAAAGGCACTGCTTTTAGAGGTTAAACTGTCATTGCAAGGCTGTTCCCATTTTCAGTATTTAAAAAAGACCTGTTAAAAAAGAAAATGGTCCATATAAGAAACTTCCCAGATCAGGGAAACAACTGTATTGTTTTATATAACGTCTCAACTGGCACCCAAAATATTACTTAGATTTGTTATTCACCTCATTCACAAGAGTTGGTTCTGAGTGGAAATTTCTGAAAAACCAAATTCACCCTCAAAGAGTCAATATTTGTTATGGCTAAGGATCCATTCAAAAGGCTGGAGTATCTCTTGGTCAGTGACACCATTATTTGCCTAAGTGACCAGTTTGAAAAGAAACTACTCGCTTATGTGTATACATATCCTTTCAGTTGCATCTATTCTGTTTGAGTAAATAAATGTGAAGCCTCTTATTCCATCAGTCACAATATGCAAAACTTCTAAGAAAACCACAGAATAACTAGCATTTTGGATATTATTTAAAAGTATCAATCTTATGGGAAAAAGTGCAGCATCATTGGCTATTCAGACATGCCCATGCGGATTTGCTTAAATTAACTGGTATAAATTCTTTTTTTAAAAGACCTTTATTTTCTCTCTTTTGACCATAATCAATATAAAACATTTTCTTCTTTTGACTCCATAAGCAGGTTTATATCATGCTTTTAATTTGGCTGAATTTCTTCTGAATATATTTTACATGGTTGAGTTAGGTGTGTGTGATCTCTGGATGCAGAAATAAACATGACTACGCATATCCCAGGTTCTGCTACTGTTGCAAAAATAGCATCTCATTGCCTTTTTTTCTCCATATGAAATTTAGGGAGAAAAAAGGAAATGCTAAAAATCAAGTGTGAAGAGGAAGGTAAAAAAATATGGACATATGTAGAAGAAATAAAATGAGAAGCAAAAATACATTATTTGAAAAACAAGTCAAAAGCTGGTAGCCTTTTCCCAATAGGCCCTTGTGCCTCATTAGTTAGAGAAGTTTTGAGCTGTATCGAAGCCACACACAAGTAAAGCACCAGGTTAGGTAGTTTCCCCTTTCCATACACATGCCATAGTCATGATGATGAAGATGAAGACAATGGTAATAACACTGACAGCTAACATTTGTGGACCCTTACCATAGGCTAGGCACTGTGCTGAAGGTATACCTCATTTAATCTTTACAACAATTCTCTGAGGTAGGCATCAGGAATAAATCCATGCCCAAGGAAGATAAAGAACTTGCCCAAGAGTTGGAGCAACCTGTGTCTGACTGACTCCAGAGAATATGCTACTAGTCATTATATTATATTGCTGTCACGCATTCCTAAAAACAATCCAGACATCAAACCTGCACAAGTCTTAAGTTAAAGAATAAAATGCCAGAGAAACTTCCTATTCTGAGACAGGCAAAAAGGTGTCAAAACTCCATCATTACATCCTCTTTGGCAATATCTTTCTTTCAATTAATGCCTGGTCTTTCTGTGCTTTTTCTCCAAAACTGAACCAAATACCAAATGGCATTAAGTCTCTTAAGCATTTGATTAAAGTTAGAGTTCTTGTTTTTAGTGTGCTGATTTACAGCCTTGTCATAAAAAGATTCAGCATTTACATTTTTCATCTAATTAAATGCAACTAAAAAGGGAAAAAATAAGATACTCAGGTTCTAGTGCAGATATTGCTCTACAAGGATGGTGACTGCCAAAATTGACTGGCAGCTTGCTGCTATGCAACCATGAAAAAAATGGATGGATGTTTGATGGGTGGTAAACAAACATCCAAGCTGAATTTCTGCCTCTATGTCTAAAGAAAAAAAGGATTGAATATTTCACTGCCCTATTATTTAAAATAGTCAGGCACAATATGGTAATAGGTACATGTGTGCACACACACAGTCACATTCAGACACACACAAGTGCACCAGAAATTGACATAAAACAGAAATTGTGTAAATGTAAATAACAATTTCGATTGATTTTCCATCAATAAAAGAAAAGATTTAAATTGCAGAATGATTAAAAGAGGCTTCAAGCTTTCTTAGGACAATCTAAAATCATCTGGGACATACAAATCCAAGCCATAACCACCATCATGCATAACATACACACACACACACTCACACACACACACACACACACACACACACACACACAGAGAGAGAGAGAGAGAGAGAATTAAACCTATGGGGCTTTTCCTTCTAGAATCAGTTTCAATGGGTGGGTATCACCCATTGAAGGGCTGGGTAGGGCTGGGTAGTAGAGTAAAAGAGAATCTTCATTATCTGAATTTTTTAACAATAAGATTATATTCATGTATTATTTGAGTAATCCGCAAAATGATAAATTAAACACATATAAAGAACATGAAAATAGAAAATAAGGCAGAAGAATGAGATTTGCTTTGTTTTCTGGAAGTCGGCTTTACAACAGTCTTCTGCTCTGGCATCGTTTGCTGTCATGGATAATCCATGCTCTGTGGTAGGAGGTCTCTGAGGAAAACCCTCTTGAGTCCTCAGAACCGCAGAATCAACATGGAAGAGGCAGGGTGAGGGAAATGGTTATTTGTTCTATACCATTTATGAAGAATGCACTATGGATGAAAATGTCCTGTTCAAATGCTTAGAAATGTTTAGGAAGAGCAAACTGTGACCTTAACCAACATTTGGAGACAATTGACAAAAACTCTTGGGTCTAGTGAAAACAAATGTTTTAAATCCTTTGTGATGATAAGAGAGACTGGGTAATTGAGGGACAGAGGTAAAAGAGGAAGGAGGGGAGGTGGATGGTGTTAATGAGAGGTCATACCTGGTCATACCAGATGGGGTGGCACTAATGAGAGGTCAAATGGGGGCAGGGAGTGGGGCTAATGAGTGGTCATAACAGACGAGGTGGCGGTAATGAGTGGTCATACCAGACGGGGTGGCGGTAATGAGTGGTCATACCAGGTGGGGTGGCGGTAATGAGTGGTCATACCAGGTGGGGTGGCGGTAATGAGTGGTCATACCAGGTGAGGTGGCGGTAATGAGCGGTCATACCAGGTGCAGTGGCAGTAGCGGTAATGAAAGGTATACCAGATGGGGTGTCGGTTATGAGTGGTCATACCGGGTGGGGTGGCGGTAATGAGTGGTCATACCAGGTGGGGTGGCGGTAATGAGTGGTCATACCAG